AGTCATTGGACTAGAAATAGTAATTGAAACAATGGAGTGTATTTGTTCATCCAGGTAGTGTGTTTAGACATAAAAAAGAAGTATAAAATATTGTCGAAGAGTGTCCCCTAGTGCTGCTCTTAAGAAGCAATTTGAAAGACGTTAACTATTATCTGTTTGTAATCTCTATCACCACCTTGTGGCCATGTCCTCAAATAATTCTGCCCTCTTTTATTGGCAAAATCTTCCAGGATCTTGCATTAATCGATGTGGAAAAATAGGTTACAGGCTATCCTGGTGATACAGAATGATATTTCTCTAAAGGGATTATTTGACAAGTATTTTGGTCAGAATGCTATAAAACCTTGAAAAGAAGTCTCCGTTGAATTTAAATTAAGTCCTCTGAAAAGAAATGGAATTTGCTTCTTTTTTTTTTTTTTTCTTATTTATGGTCTTTTTTCCTTTGTCTTGCCATGCTTCTTTTTTATGTTAATGAAACAATAGAGGTAAAAAACTAGCTGTATTTTATTTTATTTTATTTCATTTTATTTTTATTTATTTTTAAATACAGAGTCTCACTCTGTTGCCCAGGCTAGAGTGCTGTGGCATCAGTTACCTCACAGCAACCTCAAACTCCTGAGCTCAAGCGTTAAAATTTAACGCTTCCTACTTCAGCCTCCCAAGTAGCTGGGACTACAGGTACATGCCACTATGCCTGGCTAATTTTTTTCTAGTTTTAATAGAGACAGGGGTCTTGCTCTTGCTCAGGCTGGTCTCGAACTCCTCTGCTCAAGCAGTCCTCCCACCTTGGCCCCCCAGAGTGCTAGGATTACAGGTGTGAGCCACCTCGCCCAGCCTAGGTGTATTTATTTTATTGTGGTAAACTATGCATAGCATAAAGTTCAACCACCTCAAATGGTGGCACTAAGCATATTTACAATGTTTTGCAACCATCACCACTATCAATTTCAAAAATGGTTTCATCATCCAGAACAGAAACTCTGTACCAGTTAAATGTCTTATTCCTTCCACTTCCTTAACCTCTGGTAACCTCTGTTCTACTTTCTGTCTCTATGAATTTGCCTACTGTAGGTACCTCATGTAAGTGGAATCATACAATATTTGTCCTTTTGCATCTGACTTTTTTCACTTAGCATAATGTTTCCAAGGTTCATTCAAACTATAGCATGAATTGGAATTTCATTCCTTTTTGAGATTGAATAATATTGCACTGTATATACCACATTTTGTTTATCCATTCATTTGTTGATAGACATTTTGATTGTTTCCATCTTTTGGCTAGTGTGAATGATGCTACTATGGACATTAGTGTACAAGTACTTGTTTCAATCTTCGCTTTCAGTTCTTTTGGATATATACCTAGAGATATGTCAACCTAAAAGGAAGAGGCTGAGGCATAAAATATAACTTATTTTATTTTTTAGAGACAGGGTCTCGCTCTGCCACCCAGGCTGGAGTGCAGTGGCACAGTCATAGCTCACTGTAACCTTGAACTCCTGGGCTCAAGCAGTCCTCCTGCCTCAGCCTTCCAAGTAGCTGGGCCTACAGTCATGCACCACCATTCCCAGCTAATTTTAAAATTTTTTGTAGAGACAAGTTCTTGCTATGTTGCCCAGGCTGGTGGCTAGTCTCAAATGCAAAAAAAAAAAAAAAAGAAAGGGGGTGGGGTGTGGGACAGAGAGTGGGCTGATACAAAATTATTTGTCAGGAATTCTCACTGGTTTACAGAAATAACATTCACTGGCTATACATTGTTAAACTATAGGGTGTGAGTTATAGTGCACTGGAGTGCAACATTATTAGGTTAATTTATAGCTACTTGTGGCAATAGCATGCAGTTTCAAGAGATGAATACATAGCTCAAAGGTGGGGAGTAGGCCGTGATTGCTATGTGATTTCAGTTTCTCTTTGTGCCTGACCATTTAAATGGACTCACATTCCTCAGATAAAAGTTCATTTCTCAGATGGAAATGCTCAATAATATGGTAATTCTGCTTAACTTTTTGAGGAACTGCCATACTGTTTTCCACAATGGCTGTGCCATTTTATATTCCCACCAGTAATGTAGAAGGGTTTTAATTTCTTATCCTCACCAACACTTATTATTTTTAATTTTTGAATAGCTATAAGATTTTAAAAGCTACACAAAGATATTATGATACAGGTATACAATGTGTAATGATCATATCAGAATAATTAGCATATCCATCACTTCAAACACTTACTTTGTGTTGGGAACATTCAAAATCTTCTCTTCTAACTCTTTGAAAATATGGAATAAATTTATTGTTAACTATAGTCACCTTACAGTGCTATAGAACAATGAAATTCATTCCTCCTATCTAGTTATAATTTAGTATCGATTAACCGACCTTTCCCTATCATCCCCTCCCCGCACCCTTCCTAGCCTCTAATAAGCACAATTGTACTCTCTACTTCTATGAGCTCAACTTTTTTAGCTTTATATATGGGGAAGAACATGTGGTATTTATCTTTCTGTGCCTTTCACTTAACATAACATCCTCTAGGCTCATCCATGTTGCCAAGAATGACAGGATTTCATTCTTTTTTATGGCTGAATAGTATTCCATTGTGTATACATACTACATATCACATTTTCTTTATACATTCATCTATTAATGGACTCTTAAGTAGATTTCATATCTTGGCTACTGTGAATAGTCCTGCAGTAAACATGGGGGGTATAGATATCTCTTTAATAATATTCTTTTCTGTTTGATAAATGCCCAATAGTGGGATTGCTGGATCATATAGTATTTTTAAGTTATTTGAGGACCCTCCATACTGTTTTTCATATTGGTTGTACTAATTTACATTCCTACACACACTGTATAAAAGTTCCCTTTTCTATCCATCTTTGCCAGCATTTGTTATTTTTTTGTCCTTTTGATAATAGCCATTCTAACTGAGGTAAGATGATATCTTACTGTGGTTTTGATTTGTATTTCTCTGATGATTAGTGAGCATTTTTTCACATACTTGTTTGGACATTTGTATGTCTTCTTTTGAGAAATGTCTATTCAGATCCTTTGCCCATTTTTTAAATTGGATTATTTGGGGTTTTTGCTGTTGAGTTGCTTCAGTTTCTTTTTTTTTTTTTTTTTTTTTTTTTTTTTTGTTGCCCAGGCTAGAGTGAGTGCCGTGGCGTCAGCCTAGCTCACAGCAACCTCAAACTCCTGGGCTCGAGCAATCCTTCTGCCTCAGCCTCCCTGGTAGCTGGGACTACAGGCATGTGCCACCATGCCCGGCTAATTTTTTTTTTTTTTTTATATATATATCAGTTGGCCAATTGATTTCTTTCTATTTATAGTAGAGACGGGGTCTCGCTCTTGCTCAGGCTGGTTTTGAACTCCTGACCTTGAGCAATCCGCCCGCCTCGGCCTCCCAAGAGCTAGGATTACAGGCGTGAGCCACAGCGCCCGGCCTCAGTTTCTTTTATGTTCTGAATGTTGATCCCTTGTTGGATGAAGAGTTTGTAAATATTTTCTTCCATTCTACAGGTTGCCTCTTCGCTCTGTTGATTGTTTACTTTGTAAAGCTTTTTAGTTTGATATAATCCCATTTGTCTATTTTTGCTTTTGTTGCCTGTGCTTTTGAAGTCTTACCTACAAAACATTTGCCCAGACCAATGTCCTGAAGCATTTCTCCTGTTTCTTTTTCCCAAGTAGTTTTGTATTTTTGAGGCTTATATTTAAGTTTTTAATCCATTTTGAGTTGATTTTTTGTATATAGTGTAAGATAAGGGTCTAGTTTCATTTTTCTGCATGTGGATATTCAGTTTTCCCAGTACCATTTATCGAAGAGGTTGTCCTTTCTCCAAAATGTATGTTCTTGGTGCCTTTGTAAAAAATCAGTTGTTTGTATATATGTGGGCTTATTTCTGAGTTCTCTTTTCTATTCCATTGGTTTATGTGTCTGTTTTTATACCAGTACCATGCTGTTGGTTACTATAGCCTTGTAATATATTTTGAAGTTGGGTAGTGTGATGCCTCCAACTTCGTTCTTTTTGTTTAGGGTTGCTTTAGCTATTTGGGATCTGTTGTGGTTCCATAGGAATTTTAGGATTGTATTTTCTATTTCTGTAAAGCATGCCATTGGTATTTTGATAGGGATTGCATTGAATCTGTAGATTGCTTTAAGTAGTATGGTCATTTAACAATATTAATTTTTCTAATCTATTAACAGAGGATGCCTTTCCAAGTTTTTGTGTCTTCTTTAATTTCTTTTATCAGAGATCTTTCACTTTCCTGGTTAAATTTATTCCTAGATTTTTTCATAGCTGTTTTAAATGGGATTGCTTCCTTGATTTCTTTTTTAGCTAATTTGATGAATAGCCATTTTAATGGGCATGAAGTATAAACATTAACTTTAGAGTTGAATTTGCAAATAAATTACACATGAAGTTAATTCAAGAAATGTTTTGAGCCCCGGCTATATATATATACAGAGCACTGTTATACTCTGTGGGAATAACAAGGATGAATAATATATATTGAGTCTCTAGGTGATTTTCAGTTTATTTTTTTCCTCTCAACATATTTTTGAACAAGTAAATCATCTTATAATTTTCACTGGGTGGTTGGAAAAACTAATCCAGAGACCTTATGCCCAATTTATTGAAAATTGGTGGTAGAGATAAAAATGTTTATTAAACTAATTTCCCAATGGGTATGGTCAAATTCTAATTATATAGTTCTCATTTGAAAAATTCATGGTAGGGATTTTTCCAACTCAAATTCATTTTATAGTTTAGACAGGGCCTGATAGAACTATTTTAGTATTCATTCTTCCTTTGCTTCTTCAAAATTGAGCTTGGTAAATTGCTCTCTATTCTGAACAGAATGGGAAATGGGTTATACTTAACTGACCTTGATTTTAGTTTTTATGTTTGTTTCCAGAATTTTTCAGTTCCATTATTGGGCAGAATAAGACAGGAGGTATTATATTAAGCACAGTTTCTAATTAATTTTTTTTTACAGGTTAGAATTGTTGAAAGAATCCTGATACATTCCTACAATGGCCACTGCCCAGCTCTCTCACTCCTTCACAGTACACAAAGCATCTAAGGTATTTGTTAAGAATTAAAAGAAAATCAATGACTATTTAGTGAGTTAGTTCAGAATTTTAATCTTTGTGGTTTTTTTAAGCAGCAATTTTATCAGTTAATTGGCACATAATATTCTGAGAGAGTATGTGTTCATTTTAACTGCCTAATGGACTGAAGATATACAGAAAATTAAAATAGATTTCTTCTACCAAGTAACTTACTGATTGCTTGTTTCATGTCTATATAGTATTAATATGTTTAGATCTTCTAGAGTAAAAGAAATCAGAAACAAATAGATGTTTAAAGAAAATGGTTCTTTGTTAGACATTTACTTCCTGAAGCAATTAGGAAACTTTTGTTACACACCATGATGTAATTGTAAGAACTGAAGGGGAGAGCACTGAGAGAAACACATGCTAGGAACCTGGGGGAGCATGTCCTCGATTGGCAATCTTGCTGGGTTCACTTGGACAAGTTTAGCTTGTCCCATGACATTCATTAATACATCATTTGTTTATTCACTGAGACTCAATAATATTTAATATATATGTAATACTATGTTATTCACTGAAAGAATACAAAAAAAAGATCATCTTCTAGAAATTTATAATCTGGTTAAAGAAGTAAGATTTATGGGAGTTAAGTCAATATGAAAAGCAGTGTATCATTTACATATATATGAAAAATAGTAAGGCAATACAAATGATAGTAATTTAGAGAGTTAGTGTGGACTGGAATGGTTTAGATATTCCTCTTGAAAGAGGTAAGATTTAAGGTGGACATTGAATGATAAAAAGAATTTAAGTAAGGCTGGGCGTGGTGGCTCACACCTATAATCCTAGAACTCTGGGAGGCTGAGGCAGGCAGATTGCTCGAGATCAGGAGTTCAAAACCAGCCTGAGTGAGATCCTGTCTCTACTAAAAATAGAAAGAAATTAATTGACCAACTAAAAATACATACAAAAATTAGCTGGGCATGGTGGCGCATGCCTGTAGTTCCAGCTACTCGGGAGGCTGAGGCAGGAGGAGCCCAGGAGATTGAGGTTGCTGTGAGCTAGGCTGATGCCATGGCACTCTAGCCTGGGCAACAAAGTGAGACTCTGTCTCTAAAAAAAAAAAAAGAATTTAAGTAGAGGAGAGAAAATTCCAGGAGAAAAACCTAGTATGTGCCATGGCTCAGAATAGGAAATAAGCATGGCATATTTCAGGGAATAGCAAAGAACCCATCCTTATTGGAGTGGAAGGCTCATTATGTTGGACAAAAGTAGGAAATAAAATTGGATAGGAACTTTGGGGACAAATTAATATGGATCTTAAAAGACAGGCTAAGGAATTTATGCTTTATTCTGTAGTCAATGGAAAGTCAGATGGTTTTATTAGAGTAAAACAATTATTTTTACAAATATTAAGCTGTAGCAGAGGTAGAAAAGATTGAAGTTGAAGAGGAATTAGGACAGAGAGAAAGCATTTTCTTTCTGAGTCATATTCAATATACTTACCAAGCAGATGTCTGATCTCATTTGGCTTCCTAAGTGTGCTTACTTCCTGGGGTAAAATACTGAGCTGGATGTATGAATTGCAATCAGCTTGGCAGTTATTTTTCTCACTGTAAATTAACAAATTGATTTTTTTTTTTTTTTTTTTGAGACAGAGTCTCACTTTGTTGTCCAGGCTAGAGTGAGTGCCGTGGCGTCAGCCTAGCTCACAGCAACCTCAAACTCCTGGGCTCCTCCTGCCTCAGCCTCCCGAGTAGCTGGGACTACAGGCATGCGCCACCATGCCCGGCTAATTTTTTCAATATATATTTTTAGTTGACCAATTAATTTCTTTCTATTTTTTAGTAGAGACAAGGTCTCGCTCTTGCTCAGGCTGGTTTCCAACTCCTGACCTTGAGCGATTCGCCCGCCTTGGCCTACCAGAGTGCTAGGATTACAGGTGTGAGCACCTGCGCCCAGCTCCTACTTCTTATCTTCTCTCCTACTCTCCCCTGCTCAAACTCTCAGGCTCAGCTAAACTGATCTGATCCTTGTGCTCCTGATATGTCATAGCATTCTTGATCTCTTTTATTTACTAATGCTATTCTTCTTCCTTGCCACTTCTCTGAATTCTACCTTTCTTCAGGGCCCAGCTAAGTCCATGTGCCCTTATGGAATTTACAATCCATCTAGAGAGAAAAGACTTGGACATAAAAGAAGATTTACCATACAGGACAGCAGAAACTTAATGTCAAATGAGTGTAGAGACATTAGAAGCTATGGGAGTGGTTGGTTAACTGAAAATGGACCTGGGTAGGAAGGATTGTGGAGAAAGTAAGACTTAGGGAATGGAAAGAAATGTATTCCTGGCTGAAAAGAACTGTATAAGACCACATTTTCTGAACTTATTTGACCAATGAACAATTAAAACTTTTACTGAGACACTTAAAACTTTTACATGTTCATAAAATGTGTATATTTAGCTTTATGAGATACCACCAAACAATTTTCCAAAGAGGTTGTGCCCATTTACCATCCCAAACAAGTGTTAAAGAGTTTTGATTGTTACACATCCGTAACAACAAATGGTATTTTCTGATATTTAAAACTTTTAGCTATTTTGGTGGGTGTATAATGTTCTCTGATTGTGATTTTAATATTCATTTTCCTGATGAAGTTCAAATACTTTTTCATTTGTTTATTGGCCATTTGGATCTGCTCTTTTGTGAAGTGTCTGTTCAAGTCTTTTGCTTACTTTTCTATTTGGTTGTCTCTCTTAAGGAATTTTGGGAGATCTCTATACATCCTGGATATGAATCCCTTTTTCAGACATATATATTGAGAATATTTCTTCCTACCCTTGAGTTGCCTCTTTGCTCTTAATAGTGTATTAATGCACAAAAGTTCTTAGGTTTAATATAGTCGAATTCATCAATATTTGGAAAATACTTTTAAATTATACAGTATTGACACAGCATCAGCTAGATAGTGTTCATGAGATATGTTTTGTGCTTGGCTTAAAGAAGACAGCAAAAAGCAGCCTCATAGAGTAATTAATTATGATAAAAATGATTAAATTCTTATTGTTATGTTAATACAGATACATAATAAACATTGAAGAGTATGACAAACATATGTTGAAATAACTCAAGATACCCAACATAAATTATCCATTAGCAAATATTCTATATGCAAGATGATTGTTGGTAGATACTCCTTATATAGTGAAGCAAAAATTCATGTATCTGTCACTTTCTCTTTTTTTTTGAAACAGAGTCTTGCTTTATTGCCCAGGATAGAGTGAGTGCTGTGGCGTCAGCCTAGCTCACAGCAACCTCAATCTCCTGGGCTCAAGCAATCCTGCTGGCTCAGCCTCCCAAGTAGCTGGTACTACAGGCATGCGCCACCACGCCCGGCTAATTTTTTCTATATATGTTAGTTGGCCAATTAATTTCTTTCTATTTATAGTAGAGATGGGTCTCGCTCTTGCTCAGGCTGGTTTTGAACTCCTGACCTCGAGCAATCCGCCCACGTCAGCCTTCCAGAGTGCTAGGATTACAGGCGTGAGCCACTGCGCCCAGCCTGTCACTTTCTTATGACATTCCTCATATGGCACAGTGTTTCTTAAGGCAGACTATCTAATCATTTAAAAACTATATAAATTTGTTTAATCTGTCATATACACACACAAATATAAAATTTAGCAGGAAACTATTTCTAGCATTGATACTTTTTATGGAACACCATCTGACATCTTACAGAACCTTTGTATTCCTCAGAGCTCTAGCTTAAGCAAAGCACAAAAGTATGGAAATACACCGTAATAGAATAGTAGTTCCACATGTCTAGAGAGTAGGGTGTATCATATCTGTGGGAGAGAATAAAGGGGTGGGGGCAGAAAGGAAGGAGTAGGAGAGCTAAAAATAAGATTTTAACAGTTTTCAAGTCTCACACTAAGGTACTTGAATTCTATCCTCTATGAACACTGGAATTGTCATGATAAGATTCGTGTTTTTTTTTTTTTTGTTTTTTTAAAGACAGGGTCCCGCTCTTTCACTCAGGCTGTCAGGCTAGAGTGCAGTGGTGTAATCATAGCTCACTGCAACCTCAAACTCCTGAGTTCAAGTGATCCTCCTGCTTCTGCCTCTTGAGTAGCTGGGACTACTATGCCCGGATAATTTTTAAAAATTTTTTGCGGAGATAGGGCCTCACTACATTGTCCAGGCTGGCCTCAAGTAATCCTCCCACCTTCGTCTCCCAAAGTGCTGGTATTACAGATGTGAGCTACCACACTCAGCCAAAATTTGTATTCTTGAAAATTAATTCTGATGGCAAGATGGAAGACAGATTGAATAAAAGGAACTGTTGGCAGAGAGATGAGGGGCTACTGTAATAGTCAAGGGGAGAATTGAGTATGTCTTGAGTCAAGGCAGTGGCAATGAGAAGGGAAAGAAGAAAACAGATTTGAGAACTCTTTTAGAGAGAACTAATAGAATTTATTGATTGGATATGGAGTACAAAGGAAAGAGAGAAGCCAAAGGTGAAGCTGCTTCTAGCCTGGGTAACTGCAGGGGATGCCGATTCACTTGTCTGAGAATGAAACTTGAGATCGGGTTTTAGGGGTGGTAGAAATAAACCAAGTTTAAGGGATCTACAAAGTGCTCTAGGTGCAGATGTTCAGAAAATAGGAATATGGAAGTGAGACTCAGAACAGAAATAGTGACTTGAAGTCCTCTCTGTATAGGCTATAGCTGAAGCTGTGAGACTGGATGAGATTATCTAAGAAGAGAGCTATAAAAAGGGAAAAGAATTGAAGACAGAATCCTGGGGGATAACCAGCATTTAACAGGGAGAACAACTGGAAAAAATAAAAGATACTGAGACAGATTTGTAGGGATAGGTACAAAACCAAAATAGAGTTATGGTAGCTTGAAGAAGAAAAGAGAGTATGTGGGCAATAGTGTCCGATATTGCAAAGAAGTTTACATATTATGAGGAATGAGAAGAAGTCAATGATAGGGTGTACTTGGTGACTTTGGAGAGAACAGTGTAAAATGGAGGGGTATAAAAGCCAGATTGCAGTGGGGTCTGAAGAGTCTAGGAAGAGAGCTATGAAAAGGGAAAAAGAATTGAAGACAGATGCTGGGGGATAACCAGCATTTAAAGGGAAGAATAACTGGAATAAACAAAAGATACTGAGATAGATTTGTAGGGATAGGTAAAAAACCAAAATAGAGTTGTGGTAGCTTGAAGAAGAAAAGAGAGTATGTGGGCAATAGTGTCCGATGTTGCAAAGAAGTTGCAATATCTATGAGAAGGAAGAGTCTCTGAGAGGGAAGGAGATTATATAATCATAATAAAACTTCACTTTTGCCTCAAATCCATGGATCATTGTGAAATAAATTATTTTAATCTTGAATTATTTGGGTAATTGTCTGCTTTCTGCTCTGCCTTGCTTGTGAAGATCTAATCTAATGCAGTATTCAAAGTTCTGTTTCCTTTTGATTACCTATAAAGGTATCAAATTGGAAATCTTGAAAAATCTTTTCATCCTATCTGTGGTAGTAGTGTGATGGACTGAATATATTAAAGAATACTAATTTTTTTTTCACTTTTCTTCCCCCAGGAAACAGTTTTTCCATCTGAAATCACTAATGAGCATGAGTCATTGGTAATGGTGAAGAAGCTTTTTGCTACTTCTATCTCATGTATAACATATCTAAGGGGCCTGTTTCCAGAGAGCTCTTATGGAGAGCGCCATTTGGATGGTAAATTTAAACTAAATGGTTACGTAGGCTGTTGTAGCCCTTTCCTCTATTTAGCAGGAGTAAACCTTTCATTTCTCACAGAGTGTGCTGATTCCAACTCCTGGGCCTGTTCTTCAAGACCAATTTGCTAATACATTTCCCATTTTAATTTTATTATTTTGGCCGGGAACGGTGGCTCATGCCTGTAATCCTAGCCCTCTGGGAGGCTGAGGCAGGCGGATCGTTCAAGGTCCGGAGTTCGAGACCAACCTGAGCAAGAGCGAGACCCCGTCTCTACTAAAAATAGAAAGAAATTAATTGGCCAACTAAAAATATATAGAAGAAATTAGCCAGGCATGGTGCTGCATGCCTATAGTCCCAGCTACTCAGGAGGCTGAGGCAGTAGGATCGCTTGAGCCCAGGAGTTTGAGGTTGCTATGAGCTAGGCTGATGCCACGGCATTCTAGCCTGGGCAACAGAGTGAGACTCTCTCAAAAAAATTTTTTTTTTTTACTATTTTTAGTGATTTACTAATAGGAACCATTAGTTCCTGGCTAGATATTAAATGATAGACTGAGGAAAAAAGAAATCTGCATTGACAAGGCCAATAATTCTAAACTATACTTATGAAAGCAACAGCCAGATCAAAATTGAATGCTGTAGATTTGTACAATTTTGTGCTTCAGTTGAATTTATTCTTTGAGATATACTTTGGCATTGAGGAAGTTCAAAGGAGCCAAGTAAAAAACTTTTCTCTCTGTTAACATATATAAATATGCTGGGAAAAAAATGCCAGGCTCACTTTTGATTAGCATGGATATTTAGACAGTCATTATTCTAATCAGTTCTGTACTTTTCTTAATTGCCAGGTCTTCTACTTTTATTCCTTTTGTTTCTTTTTTTTTTTTCCTTTTGTTTCTTGTGCCCTAAACTTTTCATTTCATTGCTTTATATTACAAGCTGTTTCTGACTACTTTCTTTCTCTTGTATTAAAAAAATGTACCTAAGACTCATCAATTTTTAAAAATCTTACTATTTGTTTAAAAAGTTGGATTGTGAATCTTGTTGATTTGTCACTAAAATGGGAACTGTCATTTGGAAATAAATATAGACAGATACAAATTTCTTTGTAAAATGTTATTTTTCAAAGTCTAATTTTAAATTTCTCACATCTGTATTTAATGATATACCTTAGCCTCATTCCAATTTAATATTCTTAAGCAATATTTGATTCTCTTTATGAGCATTAATAAAATACATATGTACCATGAGTATATAAACAGGATATCTGCAATCATGACAACCTCATTTGTATTATGATCTCTTTTGGTCTATGGGATACAAATCTATAATAGTGAATGTGTTTATATCTAGCATATAGTTGCAGTTTCCCCTCTTGTTTGGAACATAGAATTGAAAAAAAAGACATGTTTTTGATAAATAAGCACTTATTATGTGCCAGTGCCTAGGCATGTGAGTAATGCCATTCTTACAGCATTCTTATTCCACTTTTATTTTTTGTGGCAGTTATAGAGGAAGTTATACATCTCTCTCTCTCAATGTTTGTCTTTAAAGTAATGTCCATCATAAAAATGTTCAATACTCCTGTGTCACTCTTTCTGGTAATCTCTAAATGTTATATTGACATGGAATAACTTTCATAACCGTCAATAGAGATAGAGTGACATCAATTTTAAGATAGGAAAACAATATGAAAACATGAAATGACTGATGAAAAGTCATACATGAATCAGTGATTGATCTTGGACTGATCTAAACCAAAACTCTTTTAGTAAGATATTATTCTTATTCCTTAAGTAGAGAAAAAAGGTAGTTAGATTTTTTTTTTTTTAGACAGAGTCTCACTCTGTTGCCTGGGCTAGAGTGCCGTGATGTCAGCCTAGCTCACAGCAACCTCAAACTCCTGGGCTCAAGTGATCCTCCTGCCTCAGCCTCCTGAGTAGCTGGGACTACAGGCATGCGCCAATGTGCACGGCCAATTTTTTTTCTATGTATTTTTAGTTGACCAATTAATTTCTTTCTATTTTTAGTAGAAACGGGATCTCGCTTTTGCTCAGGCTAGTTTCAAACTCCTGACCTTCAGTGATCCACCCGCCTCCCAGAGTGCTAGGATTACATGTGAGCTACCGCGCCTGGCCTATAGTTAGATTTTAGATGGAAATAAATATTTGAGAATAATCCATGTAAAATTTTTTCATTCCCCTTTTTTTACATTGAGAGGGAGAGAAATAATAGAGAAATTACTGAGATAGAGGTGTATGTTTTAAATTGGTCAATGGGGATGGTCTCAATACTACCTCATGATTGCTTAGAATTTATCAGGGGCAAAGAAGAGACACAAATTGATTTTGCAACCAACTCAGTTGTGCTACATTGTAGAAGGGGCAGATTGCTAAACTATAATCAAAATTGGGACTAAGCTGGTAATCAACATAGGATTTATTTTTAAAGTAGATAGAGATTCTAAATGTTTTTATAAGCTATAAAACTAAACAAATTGTATAAGTAAATAGTTAAAGGAAATACTCTATTTAGCATGGACAATTTCAGTAAAGCAGTCATTTAGTAGATAAAAATAGATTGTGTTTCTATTTTTGTAGATCTCAGCTTAAAAATCCTCCGAGAAGACAAAAAATGTCCTGGATCACTGCATATTATCAGGTGGTAAGTAATTGGAATTCCACAAAAGTTGAACAACATTATTTTTATCACAGCTAATATTACCCATAAGACTTTATTTGGTAAGATCATTTCCTTAAAACCATTTCTTCTTTCTTTCTTTTAAAAATAATTTTCTAGATATTTGTAACAATTATTTAATATTATTTTAAGATTGTTTTTTTAAAAAGAAAATGGACTTGTTTAAAGATAACAATATCAATTAAAATTTGATTATTCATCATGTACATGTCAGTATACTAAACATTATGGGGACAAAAAAAAAAAGATGTGCTTCCTTACCTCAAAATTACTTACCTATTATTTTTAAAGTGCTATCAGCATATTAAAAGATACTGGGAGTTTTAAAAAATGATTAAATGGGAAAGGTAAAATGGTTATCAATTTAATGCACTTCAAAGCAAATCACGTAAATGAATGTACTTGGAATTGTTTTGGCTTTGCATCGAGTCCAAATTGACATCAAACATTTATTTCTTGACAGGATTCAAGGTTGTTTTGATGCTTTGGAAAAGAGATACGTAAGAATGTTTTTAAAATTACACCAGGATCAAAAACTTGTCTTTTATCCCTTAAAAAAAGAAGTTTGGACTTTTATTTTGTTGCTGTGTTTAGTGGTATAATAGTGCCTATACTTGTGTTCATAAACCAATATCCTTTTATTTTATGTCTTTCTTCTCCTGTTGATGTCTCCTTTACATCAATTAGAAATAAAACCCTTTCTGTAAAGAGCTGGACAAAAAAAAAAAGAAAGAAAGAAAGAAAGAAAGAAAGAAAGAAAGAAAGAAAGAAAGAAAGAAAGAAAGAAAGAAAGAAAGAAAGGAGGGAGAAAAGAAAAAGGAAAACTGGAAAAAGAATATTGAAAAAAAGAAAAAAGAGCAAAACCCTCATTTTTCTGTTTTTACATACTCATATCTTTTTGACCACAGAATTTCCTCTGAAGTCACTGGAAGAGATCCACAGGATGTGGGACAGGGGAGACAAAAATTTGGCATTTAGTGCGTTGAACATGTTCAGATAGTGGTGATTCAATTAGTAGATATGAAAGGAAAAAATTGGACTTGAATAGTCAGTTTTTATGCTATTTTAGTTGTTTTGGTAACTATGTTTGATTTATGCATATAACCTATTCCCTCAAAATAGCTAGTATTGTACCTTGAATTTAAAAAAAAAACCAGCTTAAAAGTACATCTGATCTTCCATGCTGTCCAAGACAGCTATGAAGGGTGTTAAAAATGAAAACTCTAGTCCTCATTGAAGAGATAAGATACATATATATGAATTTCTACCACTGCTTTTTTCCCTTTTCCCTGTCTGTGGCTTCTTTTTACTCCATAATTCAAGAAATTCTTAAAGTTCCTTTAAGAAATCGTGAGGTAAGAAAGCCTTACGTTGGATTATTTAGCACATTTATATATTTCTTTTTTCACTGTATAGTTATTACTTATGATTTATTCAACACTGACCAGAGGGACTGAGGGATACAAAGATAAAATAGAGGGAAAGAGTTGATAGACCATGGCAGGAGATAAGTGATATTCACATACAGGGCTGATCATCAGCTGTTACACACCGGCCCAACTGTACCTGCTGTTAAAATATTCTGTATGGAGTGGTAAATAGCTGTTTTTCTGAGACCTCATGTGATCCCCACCAATATTTTCCTCCTTACCTCACCAGTGTTTCTTTTGGGGTCTCGCCAGACCACTCCAAAATCCAGCAACTAAAGAATTAATACCTGGTCCCAAGCTTGCTTCCAGGAACCCAGCTCTAGAGCTAAATTGTCATCTTTTCTGATTGGTCAGTACCTATGCCATATTAGGCTTTAAATATTTATTTTTTTCATATCAGTTTGATATTTTTATGTAAAAACATCAAATATTTTGACTATCACCCCTATATAAGTTTAAGTAACCATAACACTCATTAGAAAGTGATGCATGCCAAAGGAAAAATACTGATCATGTGGAGTGTAATGTATGGAAAAGGAGGGGCTATCCACTGGGTGACATGAGGGAAATCTTTGAAAGAAAATAGCTTTTGGGCTTTGAAAACCCTGAGCATTGGGACAGGTTGAGAGGGAAAGAAGGCCATCACTGGCATACTTGAACAGTGCTCATGTATTCTCCTTCCTCCATTCATTTAGCAACATTTCTTGGGTGTCCATCATTGGTGGGTGGTACAATGTAGTTAGAAGCTCAAGTTTTGAAGTCAGTCTGAGGTGAATCCCAGTTCTGTCACTGAATACCTGTGTGACCTTGGGCAAGTAATCTACCTCTTGGTACCTTAGTGTCTTCACATATAAAATGGGGATAATAATAGAACCTATCTCTTTTTTTTTTAATTTTAGCGTATTATGGGGGTACAACTGTTAAGGTTACATATATTGCCCATGACCCCCTCCCCCCTTGAGTAAGAGCTTCAAGTGTGTCCATCCCCCAAATGTAGAACCTACCTCTTAGGGTTATTTGATAATTAAATAAATCAATAATCTAAAGCAGTGGTCCACAGACTGTAGCTTGCATCAGAATCACCTGAAGGACTTGCTAAAACACAGATTACTAAGCCTCCCACCCCAAAATTTCTAAAGCGAGAATTTGAATTTCAGATAAGTTCTAGATGGTGCTCTGACTGTTGGTCTAGGGGCCATACTGTGAGAACCACTGATTTAAAATGTTTAGAAGAGTGCCTAGTACATATTATTATATACTAGTGCCTAGTACATATTATTATGTACCATGTAAATGTTAACCATTCATTCATTCATTCTTTATACATTGGCTGTTTAATCTGTGTGAGACATTGTGCCTAGGCACTGGATGAGATAAAAATGAGAGTAATATGTGATTCACCCTCTCAAGGAGGTCACAGTCTAATAGAAAGAGTTACTTCTAACACAGCAGTGTAATGTACAAAGAGTATCTAGCTAGTTTGTTGAATTTATTTTACTAAATGACTACCTGTATGATTGACTCAATCAAATTAACTGGGGACAGCGAAAGACAAAATCTTAGATAAATAACTTAGACTTAAAAAAAATTTTTTTTTTAATATGAAGGGTGGGGAGTGAAGAGGAGGGTTCAATTTCCATTTTTATTTATTTATTCTTTTTAAGACAGAGTCTCACTCTGTCGCCCTGGGTAGAGTACAGTGGAATCAGCATAGCTCACTGCAGTCTCAAATTCCTGGGCTCGAGTGATCCTCCTGTTTCAGCCTTGCAGAGTGCTAAGATTACAGGCATGAGCCACCGTGCCCAGCCATGACTTAGATTCTTAAGTAAATAGTATTTATATTGTTTTTCAGTTGTTAATATTTTATAAGTTTTCTCAGGTGGTCTTTTAGCTAGTAAGATATAATGTTTTAAAAGTAGTTTGAGTAAAATCAATTTTGATATCTAGAGGTAGTGAAAGATGTTCTGTTAAAGAGAATGATTATTTCTAGTTGTGAAATATTAGATGATTTTTTTTTTTGAGACATAAGTCTCACTCTGTTGCCTGGGCTAGCTTGCTGTGGCGTCAGCGTAGCTTACAGCAACCTCCAGCTCCTGGGTTCAAGGGATCCTCCTGCCTCAGCCTCCTGAGTAGCTGAGACTGCAGGCATGTGCCACCATGGCCGGCTAATTTTTTCTGTATATTAGTTGTCCAGCTAATTTATATTTATTTTTTTTTAGTAAAGATAGGGTCTTGTTCTTGCTCAGGCTGGTCTGAAATTCCTGAGCTCAAATGATCCATCTGCCTCGGCCTCCGAGGGTTACAGTGCTAGGGTTACAGGTGTGAGCTACCGCACCCTGCCCACACTTTTAGATTTTTGTGTTAGTAGATTAGTTTCAAAAGGAGCACTTTTTTGATGTAGCATATTTAATTTTTTGTAATAATGAATTATTTTATAAAACTTTGCCTCCCAAACTAGAATGTAACATAGAATGTAACTAGGGAGGGATGGTTACTTTTTTGTATTTCTCTCCTTTCCAGCACAGCCCTATATATGTATAATAATAGGCATTCACTTGAATGAATGAATAATTAGTACAGTCAGCCCTCCATATCAGAGCATTCATTAAGAGTCTGCAAATTCAGTCAAACACAAGTCAAAAATTATTCACAAAAAATCCAATAAAAAATAACAATACAGTAATAAAAAATGATACACATCTAAAAATGCATTAAACAACTATTACATTGTATTATAAGTAATCTAGAGATGTAGAGTTGAACTCATTATACATTGTATACAGGTATCAAAATATCACATGTCCCCCCAAAAGATGTATAATTATTATATATCAATTAAAAAATGAAATGAAAGAATCAGTTTTCAGGTATCTAGGAAATACACCTTTATAATGCAAAAAAAATGGATATAAGATTGTCAACATACAATATATTTTTAAAATAAAATTAATTTTGACCAAAAAAATATAGTTGACCCTTGAACAATATGGGATTAAACTGTGCAGGTTCATTGATACATGGATTTTTTTTCAATAAATACAGTCAACCCTCCATATCTGTAGATTCTGCATCTGCAACCAAAAGTAGATTGAAAATAGAGTATTTGTGAGATGTGAAAACCACAGATGTGGAGGGCCGATGTTTGTTATACTCCCTGTAGGATTTGAGTATACTTGGATTTTGGTATCCACTGGGGGTCCTGCAACCAATCTACCCTCAGATACCAAGGATTGACTATATATCCCTTTTTCTGACCTTCTGAGTAATATTTTTTTCCTACCCAAATCTTTGGAACCTCTCTGAAATAATATTTTAATCAGCCTCCATTGAAAATAACAATAATATAAGTGAAAGTGTATAATAACAATAGTTTTTTTCTTTCTCTTGAAGCTACACATGGCAGTACTTACTGTAAGTACACATTTAAAGACCAAGTTTCTGTCTCTACTTTATTGTCTTTTGGCAAGTGAAACATTAAAACAGTCCTCTCTCACTCCTCTCTCACTGACTTTCTTTGTCTGTCTTATGATATTTTGGAATTAAAAAAAATAAGATCTATCAAAAGTTTTAATAAAAGATTACAAACAATATATTTCTTTGGCATATTATAATACATGGGAAACTTATATAGGATATACTATGTGCTTCATCTGGTGTCTCTCAGTATTTCATATTTTTAGTTACTATACAGACTCAAAGATTTTTGTTTTTGAAATTTTGTAGACTTTTTTTGAAATTTTGTATACCTCTGGGTATATCACGATGTTTGTATTTAAGAGTAGAAAATGAAAAGATACCATTGAGAGTCTTAAATATATGATTTATTTAAACATTTTAAACTATAACAGATTATTTAGAGTTCATTTGTAGCTCAGTCATAGTAATTATAAATACCATATTGTCAATTTCCTTTTATTCAGTGTTCATAGAATATTCTATATATTTTGTTTACGAAATAAAAGCATATACTATCTCTAGCTTGAAGTATATGTCAGTACTCAATTAATAGATAACAAATCAAACTCTTTATATAGAAAAAATATATTCCATGAGGAGTAATCTACTAAGTTTCAGAAAGTAAATGCTGTTTATTTTTCCTTAAACAGCTTTACACAAATCCCAAGGAACCTGAGGTAAGAAGACACACATATAGGTGGGCAGTATATGTATGTTATATTTAAATATGTTTACCTGAGTTGAGGCTATCTAGATTATGTTACTAGACTACTGTATGAGCCAAGGAACTCATAGCGAACTCTTTCAGTGTATTCTATTATAAATTTGACCAATCCTTTATCATGAGATTTTTAAAAACTATCATGGGGTACCGGGGGGTTGGGGGGTGGGGGGAGGTATTGAGTAGAACTGAACCTATTCCCTAACTAGTTAACATTAAGACTCTCTTAATGTATAATGTATAAGACTACACTTTATTATTTATTTTAATTGTTTCTGAATCCTTATTCATTTATTTATTTATTTTATCTGCAGAAAAGTCAGATTCTATCTGAATCCTTTTAGTTATGGCCTTTGGGGAAAATAAATAAGATATGGCATAATCCCAAACTTTTTTTTGCCTACTAAACTCTCTTTTGACATTTTCATAGCTTTACCTCTTTACTTCTCTCTCTAGATTTCTTCTCTCTGCTTAGTGAATCCTACTCATCCTCAAGGCCAACTTAGGTTCAAGTCTTTCATGAAAGCCTCTTTGGCTATTTTATCTACATTAATTTTTTTCTTCTCTAAATTCCTTTTCTGGAAGAACCTCACAATTTAACACTCTCAACTGATTCATATAGATTATCTCCCCAACCAGATTGTGCATTCTTGTGGATAAGAGTCTTGTCTTATTTTCTATCTCCCAGAGTGAATATCAGTCCTGGATACATAATAGTTACTTGTGCGGCTTTGAATGGTGGCTGTAGCTGTGGCACAGAAATGGAGGGAGACTCCCTCTGTTCTCATTCTCTTTGTCTTCCTCCTAACTTTCTTTCCTTTTTCTTTGCTTTCAATTTTCCTTTTTTAAACCCATGGATTTAGCCTAACTGGTGGTATTGAAGACTAAATTGTTTTTAGCAGTTAATATCCTTTCTTTGCATCATAACATATAGCTTTTCAAGCAAGAGGAAAGAAAACTGTTGCATATAGGTGGTAGCAATTCCGCAATGCCCAAACTAATTCTGTCTTTTTATCTTTGCCACTTGTTTAGTTTCAAAATACTTTTTGTTCCTAATAGATTTGAGGGGAAGTTTCCCACCCTAAAATTGTTACTATTTGGTAATTTTCTTAGTGCAGTGTTTATCATGTTTTCTTATGCATGCAAAACTCCTAGTTTGAAACCACTGGTTTTTGGGGTAGTGAAATCCTGAGCAAATTGAACTTATCTACAGAAAAATATTACAGAGTGGGAAGAAAAGCATTAAATTATTTTTGATGTAGACATATGTAATAATGAAGTTAGGAAACAAAAAGTTTATTATATGGTAAGTTCTGAGCTATCATTTATGATCCAGGAACAAATATTTTGAATGTTTACAGGTTGTTCCCTTTAGTAGTGATCCCTAATCTCTATGTGTTCATGGTACACTTTTGATTACTAAAAAATTCAGTAGCATGCTGAAAGGTATTAAAAGACTCCAAAGAGCATGAAACAAGTCAGCAGTAAGTACAGAGCAACTACTACTATGGTATAGTAATGTTCATAGTGCCTAAAAAGCATCCATAAGGTTACATTGTTTTATGGTTGGTGCTTAGCGTCAAGTTATGATACAACTCTTTACCTCCCTGATCTTATTCTCTTATATACTTACAAAACATTCTCACATAAACATAGACTTTGGCACTTATCTGATCTTGTGCCATGTTTCTCGAGTCATATACCTCAAAGTATATCCTTTCCTAAACAAAACTGCACAAACAATAATAATGTTAATATTTACCTGAAGCAAAAATACACTTTATATGTGAATTAAAATTTGTAGTACTCTAGTGGAGAGTATATCATGGTACAATAGTTGAGAACCTTAAATCAAACAAGTGTGCTTTCCTACTTCAGAAGGCTGATAGAGTTTTTGGCAATGCACAAAGTTGTGGTGCTTTTGCACATGAAGTTTTGTTCTGGTTGCTCCATCTCATGAAAGAGATGAACCAACATTGCCAGGCATGGTGCAGCACCCTGGTCGTCTCAGCTACTCAGGAGCCTGAGGTGAGAGGATGGCTTGAGCTCAGGAGTTTGAGACCAGCCTGGGCGACATAATGAGACCCTTGTCTCTTTAAAAAAAAAAAGGGGATGAAACAGCAAAAGTAACTAAATACCCTCCTCTCTTTAAAAAAAAAAAAAAAAGAGATGAAACAGCAAAAGTAACTAAAGTAGTGAAGAGTGATAGTGTAGCTTTTCTATAAGCACATACTACCAAATGCGTGGGAGGTATTAGTAAGATATGTATGCCAAAATGTAAATATGTTAAAGAAAGATTTATACAAATTAATGTATGATAGATCAAAAATAATTACTATATATGAATATTGTGAGGACATAAATATTAACTGTTTCACCATCTATTCCTTTGTGCCTAATGGAGGCGGTCAATACTCACTGTTCTTTGTTGTTGTTGTTGTTTTTGAGACAGGGTCTCACTCTGTTGCCCAGACTACAGTGCAGTGGTGTCATCATAGCTCACTGCAACCTCAAATTTCTGGGCTCAAGCAATCCTTCTGTCTCAGCCTCCAGAGAAGCTGGGACTACACCATGCCTGGCGAATTTTTTAATTTTGTAGAGATGGAGTCTCACTGTATTATCCAGGCTGATATTCAGCTCCTAGGCTCAAGTGATCCTCTCCCCTTGGCCTACCAAAGTGCTAGGATTATAGGCATGAGCCACCACACCCAGCCTAGCATTCACTTTTAATAGACTGTTTCAGGAGCTGAACTATACATTGCTCCTGTTTCTTGCCACAATATACTTTTAGAGACTTTGTTTAAAAAAAATCTTTGTAGGATGAAATCCTAATTGAGCATTAACTCTATTCTGACTGAATATTTATTCATTCAGCAAATATTAATTGGGTTCCTTTTATGTGCCTAGCACTGTTCAAGGTGAAGAAAACACAGTAGTGAATGGGTTAGAAAAGGTATTGCTGCTCTCTAGAAGTTTACATTCCTATTAGGGAGGATAAACAATAAATAAGTAAATAAAAAATAGTGCAAATGGTTTCAGATATAATGCTCTGATGAAAAATTTAAAAGGTGGTGTGCTGGAGAGTGCAGAGGCAGAGAATGGAGAAGGAAGGATTGGATGGCTGTGTTGTATTGGGCAGTCCCAATATAACTGAGGGGCCACTGTTTGAGCTAAGGCTGAATGACCTGAAAGAGTCAGCCTATGCAAGTCTGAGGAAAAATGTTATGTGACAGGCTGAGTAACACAGTAATTAACTTCACAGGTGCTGGAGTCAAATCCCAGCTCTACCACTTACTAACTTCATCAATAATAAGAATAATAATACCTATTTCAGAGTGTTGGCTACATGAGAATGAACTGATATAAAGCATTTAGGGCAATGCCCGAATATTATTATCAGCTAGAGACAGCATGTTCCAGATTATAGCTGTGCAAAGGCACTAAGGCAGGAAGGAATCTTGGGTGTTCGTGGGCAGAAAAGGTGCCATGAGTGCAAGGGGGAAGTGGTTAGAGATATGGCCAGAGAGGTAGGCAGGGGACAGATGAACAGGGCCTTGTAGATCAAGTTAAATTTTGGATTTTATTGTAAGAGCAGTGGGAAGCCATTGGAGGCTTTTAAGCAAAGGAGTGACATGGTCTGATTTGTATTAAGTCATTAAATATGTCCGATTTTGAATCAAAGTGTAGTTTATTATATCTCAAACTAGAAGCAGTACAGTTAATCAAAGTATGTGCCTGAACCATCAACACAATTTTGCCATCTTAATGGTCGATTGTTTATGCCAGCAGTGAAGAAGCCTGGAGAGTGAGTGGCCTTGAAATCGCAAAAGGGATTTTCCATAGCTTGTTGAGAATTGAATATTTTTCCTTGCAAGAAGTGCTCCAAAACCTGGAAGAAGTGGTAGTTGGGTGGTGCAAGGTCTGGTGAATATGGTAGATGACAGAGTTTCCAAATCCAGCCTCTGTAGTTTGAGCAGCATTATTTGTGCAATATATGGTCAAGTGTTGCCTTGCAAGAGGATTGACCTGTCTCTATTGATCAGTCTCAGCTGCTTAATAGCAAGCATCCTCAACATTTCGTCCAGTTGGTTGCAGTAGACATCTGCTGTAATCAATTGACCAGGTTTCATGAAACTGTAGTGCAGGCGTCCTCAAAATACGGCCTGCAGGCCACATGCGGGTGTTTTTGCCCATTTGTTTTTTTACTTCAAAATAAGATATGTGCAGTGTGCATAGGAATTTGTTCGTAGTTTTTTTTAAACTATAGTCCAGCCCTCCAACAGTCTGAGGGACAGTGAACCCACCCCCTGTTTAAAAAGTTTGAAGACCCCTACTGTAGTAGATAATACCAGTGCTAGAGCACCAAACAGATACCATTAGCTTTTTTTGATGAATATTTGGTTTTGGACTATGTTTTGGCACTTCATTTTTACCCAGCCATTGTGCCTAATGCTTGCGATTGTCAAAAATAATCCATTTTTCATCACACATAACAAAACGATGTAGAAATGGTTCGCCTTTATGTCATCACAGCAAAGAAAGGCAAGCTTCCATATGATTTCTCTGCTGATGCCTGTTTAATTCATGCGGAACCCATCTATCCAGCTTCTTTACTTTGCCAATTTGCTTCAAATGGTCCAATATTGTTGGAATAGTAACGTCAAACCTTGCTGCTAATTCATGCATAGGTTGAGATGGATTTGCTTCCACTACAGCTTTCAGCTCATTATTATCCACCTTGGTTTCAGGTCTACCATGTGTTCATTATCAAGATTAAAATCACCAGAACAGAACTTCTCCATTAGTTACATCCTTCCCAAACACTTTGCTGATATATCAAGCTGTCTGTGCTGCATTGTTTCTATGATGGAACTCATATTTGAAAATAATACAAATTTTTTACTTATCCATGGTTTCACAAAAATTGCTCTAAAATTTTTTTGAAAGATAATCACAAGCCACAACATGCATTTGAAAGACAGGAGGTACCTTCATAATCAAAATAAAACAAGAAGTGTCAAAGATATCAACTGTCAAACTTAGTACTTAAGGAAGTCGGGAATTTCATACTTAATAACCTAATACTTTTTTTGTTTACAAAAACTAGTTTTGGCTATAGAATAGAGAATAAATACCAGATGGACTTGCTATTCTCTTTGGATGTAAACCTGAAACGTCTTGCTAATGGATTGGCATGAGGAGGAGGAAGGAAAGGCTGCATATGTTGCTGTTGCTTTGATCTAAGTGAATGTATTTAGTATGATTAATAGAAACTGTTGATGAGTTGTTTAAAGGTTCATCTTTATTATGCAATACATTAGTCTAAAAAGCATCTTATGAGGTGTTAAGAAGAGCCTGGTCCTTAGTGCCTGCTTAAATATACTTTCCTTAATAAACTAGAATCAGATTGAAGTTATTAAGGATTAGCATAAAACAATTATAAACTTAACTCTTTTATTAGTTGCTTCAAGGATCAAATAATAAAGTGTAAATAAAATTATCAACTATTAATAATAAAAGATCTATTCTTTTTTTTTTTTTTTGAGACAGATTCTCGATTTACTGCCTAGGCTAGAGTGAGTGCCATGGCATCAGCCTAGCTCACAGCAACCTCAAACTCCTGGTCTCAAGCAATCCTACTGCCTCAGCCTCCCGAGTAGCTGGGACTACATGCATGCGCCACCATGCCCGGCTAAGTTTTTCTATATATATTAGTTGGCCAATTAATTTATTTCTATTTATAGTAGAGACAGGGTATCACTCTTGCTCAGGCTGGTTTCGAACTCCTGACCTCAAGCAATCTGCCCGCCTCGGCCTCCAGGAGTGCTAGGATTATAGGCGTGAGCCACCGTGCCCGGCCTAAAAGATCTATTCTTGACACAATTAAAAAAAAATAAAAGATAGCTCAGAGGATTAAAAAAGCTAGAGTTGATTGAGAAACATGGGCAGGCAGGCAGGCAAGCAGGAAGAATAGGCAGTTTGCTTGACAGGGCAATTACAACCCAGCATTGGCTAAGAGAGGACACTGTGTATCTAGCCTATCTGGAGTGACACTGTTGCTGTAGGCACCTGCAGGCACCTCTAATCTCACTTATTTCTCCTGTTATATTCACAAAGCAGCCTTGTGAACTTTGATTTCTCAAGTAGACTGTCTTATTAGAAAAATACTTTTCTCTTAAAATTAACTCCATTACAAATCAGTCTCCTTAGAGTTTAGACAGCATGAGACAATTTTCCCAGGACCTGATCACTGTGACTAAGTTATATGTTAAGGTTTACCATCAGCAAAGCTGGGAGACTAAATCTTAAAGTAATAGGAACAGTGAGACTTTTTCTGATCAATCTAAGATTCTCATCCTCACATTGTCATGGATCAAATACTGAACCAGATGAATGAGGGGCATTTTTTGTGTTCTGATTTATGGTCATATCCTTTAACTATCTTTAACACCTTCTCCAGCTCTGTGGACAAACTGTACAACATATTTGGGCCAAACATTTACTTTAACTACTAGACAATTTTTTTTGAGACAGTTTGGCTCTGATGTCCTGGGTAGAGTATAGGTGGCATCATCATAGCTCACTGCAACCTAAAACTCCTGGGCTCCAGAAATCCTCTTGCTACCCAGGTTGCTGGGACTACAGGAGTGTGCCACTACATCCAGCTAATTTTTCTATTTTTTGTACAGATGTGGGTCTCCCTCTTGCTCAGGCTGGTTTCAAACTCCAAACTTCAAGCAGTTCTCCCGTTTCTGCCTCCAGAGTGTTGGGATTACAGGTGTGAGCCACAGCACCTGGCCTAAGACAATCATTTTATTTTATTTATTTATTCTTATTTTTCTTTCTTTTCTTTTTTGACAGTGGCTTTCTGGGGAAATCATTTTATTTTAAATGGAATATGTCTCTTATGAGGAAATTTGTCCCTCGTTATTTCTAGCTTTCTTAACAGTGAGGAGAGCAGATAGCTGTATTATCTAGTTTTTAGTGCAGGATTGAAAAAATAAGACTTAATATTGTAGATCCTGGTTTGTTTTCTAATTCTTCTAATTTTCCTGTTGCCATTATAGTCTTCCCTGAATTACTGCAGTAGCCTCTTAATGCCCCTCATGGCTTCCACTATATATATATTTGTTTCAGAATATTGTGAGGGTACAAATGTTTAGGTTACATATATTGTGTTTGCCCCACCCGAGTCAGAGCTATAAACATATCCATTCCCCAGATGGTGTTCACTGCACCCATTCTTTGTGAATATACCCATCCCCTCTTCCCTCCTTCCACCTGCCCGACATCCAATGATTGTTACTACCATATGTATACATAAGTGGTGATCAATTAATACCAATTTGATGGTGATTTCATGTGGTGCTTGTTTTTCCATTCTTGTGATACTTCACTTAGTAGAATGGGCTCCAGTTCCATCCAGGATAATACATTTATACTGTTAAAGTAGCCAGGGTATCTCATCTGCTTAAAACCCTTCAATAGACTTCTGGTTTTCTTAGAATAAAATCCAAACCCCTTACCATGGCCAACAAGGCCCCACAATCTCCTCTACAACCTCATCTACATTCTCCCCCTTGCTCACTCATCTCCAGCCACTTGGCCTCTTCTCTGGTCCTGGAAGAGGCATCCCTTCCCACTTTAGAGCCTTTGTATTGCTGTTCTCTCTGCCTGAGATACCCCATCCCCCATAACTGACCCCTCTTAAGGCTCAGCTTAAGCGTCACCTTTTCAGCAAGGCCTTCCTTGGCCCTTCCAAACCAAATCAGCACTTTTCCCCTTCATGTATTCTCTATCACAGCATCTGCTTCTTGTTCACAGCACTTACATTATCTGAAATTATCTTATCTTATTTGGTTACTTATTTATTGTCTCCCAAACCAGACTGTATATTTCAGAAAAACAGGGACCTCTTGTGTTTTATTCACCACTGTGACTCCAGTGCATGGCACAAAGTAGACATTCAATAAAATATTTGTTATGTGAATGAATATTTTCTCAACTGATTCCACTGTCATTTATGTAGTTGGGTTACTTGACTCAGTGCCTCAGTTTTTCCAGCTTTAAGATGGTAATGATGATATTTGCCATCTAATTCATTTTTAGCACGAAAGAGAAAAACTAAGTTATCTTTGTATTTGAAAATATTACTCCTGAATAATGTAATGCTGTGAAATAAACAGATATGTAGAAAGTGTTCTTTGATTATTATCAGGTAAGATTCTGGATTTCTTTTCTAAATTAATTTCTTTCTCTATTCCTTTTGGTTTTTCTAGAAAGTGACTGAAATATACCAGTTTAAATTCAAATACTCAAAAGAAGGAGCCACTATGGATTTTGACAGGTAGAATCTACTTGTTTAATGAACATGAGAAATAGGATTGAGGTAAACATAAGTTTCTTGAGGCCAGAGAAAGGTCTTACACTTCTTTTGTAATTTCCCCACAAACCCTAAAAAAACACTATAATAAAAAGGGACTGTAATAATTATTTAAATTTCTGAAACCCATGGACTAAGCTAGTGGGAGTGGAGGTAATGGTGGGCAGCACAGCAGTAGAAATTATATCTATAAGGCTTCTACATGGTGTTGACTGAAGAACTCCATAAGCCTCTGTCTAGTCGTTAATCCGAAGTTTCTCAATTGCTATGCCAAGATATTGATTGCCTCCACAATGTAGCCAGACTGGGCCTGAGGTAGATAAAACCCCTGGGCTGTTTGCCTACATACACAAATATTCTCATCTGCTCACCCCAGTATATCATACAAATATCATTTTCTATGTGTGGCCCTGTATGGAAAAGACTGGAAAGCACTGCCTTTTCCTGTCAAATCTAAAACTCCACAGCAAAGACAAGAATGTTTGCTTCAGAAGGTCCCCAGTGCAGATGGAGATGTTTTATTCTGGAGCAACATTTATTTTTCTCCCAGTAGATTTTGGATTCAGATCAGCCAGAAGGCATAGAGAGCTGAGTGCCGCTGATGAGATGGCACAGTAGTGGAAGGTGTGGGGATGGTGAGAAGCCCTGGGTAGTAGAGGGCTCCAGATAAGGGGCATAGGTGCCCCTGAAAGGAATGACTCTGAAAAAGAAATGTGACCTAATTCTTATCGTTTTCTGTGAGCATGAGGATTTCTCTCCAAGATTCACTTCCTTAATTATCCTCTCATTTGTAAAACCTACAGACAGCACTAAGATCTGAAGAGAAAGTCAATACCAAAAATGGGAATTAAAATATTATTCATCATTAGCTAACATATGTATAACATTTACAGCTTATACAGCACTTTTATACATTTTTTTCTGACATAAAACAGTTGCCTTTTACTCTCCAAAACTCAACTATAAGTACTACTGATGACCAGATAAATCTCTTTTGTTTTGAAAGCATGTATGCCAAGAGGTAAACAGTAAAACAGAAATGGCCAAATCTTTTACATACTAATGAGGAGAGAAGGTAGTGCATATTACTAATTTCCTAGAAACCAAAGACCGGCATTTGTTTAAATGGGAGTCCTGAATATGATTTCACTGATGGATCCTGGAAGATCCTGTGAATTATATGGCTATACCTCTACACTCTGGTTACCTATGTTCAAATTGGTTAACTCCTGGTAGACAAAACTTTAAGTTGTTCAAAATTGGAAAAGGAGCTAATATATTCACTTAATGAAGGTTTGCTTTATAAATTCACACTGCCTCCAAAGATCAGTTGGGGAAAAACCCAACAGTTCAATTACTTAGGATTATTTTTCAGTATTGAGTGCTTACTATGTGCAATATACTGTGAAAACATATTGCAGTCTGGAAACTGTGCACATGTAAGGCTAATTGGGGAAGAAAACTTTGGGGAGAAATAAAAAAGGTTTAGAATTGGAAAGTAATTTAGTCCAACTTGTTCATTCATTCATTAATTCAAAAATGTTTATTGAGTAGCTGGCACCAAACTATATACTGTGGAGATGAAAGATAGAGCCACTTAACAATCTAGAGGGAGACAGTTATCCTGAGGGTAAGGTGAGGAGATTATCAGGGAAGACTTCTTAAACAGGTGGCACATGAGCTAGATATTAAAGGATGAATTTAAGAGAGTCAGGAAGTGGAAAAGTACAATATAACCAAAGTGAACAGCATACGCAAATGCATGTGGGTGAAAGGAAACTGGGTAGTAGCTGCAGTTGAGGGTGGAGATGAGGGTGTGATTTTTCATGAAAGGCATGGTACACACACCTCCCTTGAATTTGGTTGGAAAGTGATGGAAGTAGTAGAAGAATTTTAAGCAAGAAGGTGACATGAGCATATTTTCCTATTAGGAATATTATTTTGGCAGTGATGTGGAGTATATTTTGAAGTGTAGACAAGAAGGAAAGCAGGAAGAATAATTAGATGACCAATATGGTAATCCATACAAGAGTGAGGAGGGGATACTTTTAAAAGATAATCAGATGGTAGAAAGACCAAGAGCTGGTTTTTGATTTGATGTTTGGAGAGCTGTAGAAATGTCTGTAAGCTTATCTCACAAATGAGCTAACTGACCTAAAGTGTGTCTAAGTGACTTGACCGAGGTCACTTAGCTAAATTAGCAGCAGAGCCAATATAGATGCCAAGTAACCTAATGCCATATCCATTGTTCTCACTATTATGGAATGTGGTTATTTATAAATCAAATTAAAAAAAAAATAAGGTAATATTTTAAATGCCTTAAGGGTGCTTACTACATAAGAGAAATCTTTTGTCTATACCTTGCAAAAAGTACAATTGTTTTCCTTATTTACATTCTAAAAATAGCCTCAAAATGTTCTGATGTTTAATTTATATGTATTTGATCATATAGTCAAAAGTTTTGTTCCTTTTGGAATAGATTGTCAATGTTATATGTGATTAAGAAGTATGCTGTTTTTCTATGTGGTTATAGGAGCAGTGCAAGCTTTGAAAGTGGGACAAAGAGTGAAGATATTAAGAAAGCCAGTGTTCTACTGATCCGTAGATTGTACATGCTGATGCAGAACCTTGGACCCCTTCCTAATGATGTTATACTTACTATGAAACTCCACTACTATAACACAGGTACGTGGAGACCTTTAGTCAAATTTCTTTAAGTGCTAAAGTGATGTTTTATATAAGTAGAAGGATTTTGCAAGCAACTGAAAGAGATGTCTATTGCTATACATGAAAGATTAATCTGACTTGTTCTATTGAAACTCAGTTTTCATGGCTTTTTGCCCTTTTCATTTTGCAGTGACCCCACGTGATTACCAACCCCCTGGTTTTAAAGCAGGGTTGAATTCACGCTTCCTGCTCTTTGAGGGGGAGCCTGTCAACCTGCAAGTGGGATTGGTCTCCACTGGCTTTCATAGCATGAAAGTAAAACTGACGACTGAGGCTGCCAGAGTGTCTGATTTGGAGAATAGTCTCTTTCAGGAGAACACTACTGAGATTGCCCATCAGGGTCTAGACTGTGATGAGGAAGAAGAGGAATGCAACAAGCACGTAAGGCAAAGCTTTAGTGACCTCCATTGCTTCAGTTAAACACTATTGACATTTTTCAGTTCCTCTACAGATACGTCATGTAGAGTGTGCTAGGCATAAAAACTGAAAGAAAACTAGCCCCTGATGTCAAGAAGTTTTTAATATAAAAATGTATAGTCTTCAAGAAGGAAATATACAAACATTTTGGTTACATGAAAAAAAAGAAGGAAATATACTTTATTAGATGAAGTTGTCCATGACTAGGAGGAAAAAAAGATCTCCCAATGTGTTTCTTTTATTAAAGGTTCCCATAAATTTAGAAAATTTCAGTTTTTTTCCCTTCATTTATAAGTAACATAATTTTAGGGTTTAAAAAATTATTCTAAGTATTAATACTCAGTGGATATATAAATCAGCTCTTGATTACTAGAATAATTGGGTGGGATGGGGTTGTGAAAGATAAAGTTTGTGGATAAATCCAAGGCAGAGTGAAAACAAAATAATAGTCAACTCTTAGTTATGTGAACAGACATTTTCCCACAAGGATTCTTATTGTATTACTTCATGGAGTACACACACACACACTCTCACACATGTGTATACATACATGGAACATTTATTGCTTTTAAAATTATTTTATTTTGAAATGTATTATGTATGCAGTAGAATACATAAAAATAATATATACATTTTACAGAATAATGAGAACATCCATATACCCTCCATTTAGACTAAAAAGTAGAACATTGCCACTACCTTAGAACCCACCATGTGCCCCCACCACTGATTGCACCCACCTTCCTCAAAGGTAACCACTCTCCTGACTTTTACAATAACTCTTCTTTTGCTCTTCTTTATAGTTTTACCATCTATATCTGCTTGTTTTAAGATTTTCTATAAAAGTAATCGTACCCTGAGTGTTCTTATATGATTTTCTGCTTTTGCTTGACCATCAAAATTGACATTCATTCTGTGTGTGATTGTTGTTCTTTCATTTTCACTGCTGTAGAGTATTCTACTCTTGATAGACATTCTTTCCTTCTCTTTAGTTGTTATAAACATTCCTGTACATTACCTCCTGGTACACATATCTAAGAGTATCTCTTGGGAACATACCAAAGAGTTCTAGGCTTGCATACTTTCTATTTTATTAGGTAACACAAAACTGTTTTCCAGGCCGGGTGCGGTGGCTCACGCCTGTAATCCTAGCACTCTGGGAGGCCAAGGCGGGCGGATTGCTCGAGGTCAGGAGTTCGAAACCAGCCTGAGCAAGAGCGAGACCCCCGTCTCTACTATAAATAGAAAGAAATTAATTGGCCAACTAATACATATATAGAAAAAATTAGCTGGGCATAGTGGCGCATGCCTGTAGTCCCAGCTACTTGGGAGGCTGAGGCAGGAGGATGGCTTGAGCCCAGGAGTTTGAGGTTGCTGTGAGCTAGGCTGACACCACGGCACTCACTCTAGCCTGGGCAACAAAGTGAGACTCGTTCTCAAAAAAAAACCAAAAAAAAAAACTGTTTTCCAAAGTGATTGTGCCAACTTATACTCTTGTCAACACTTACTATTGTCAGAGTTTATATTTTCTGCCAATCTGCTAGATATGAAATGGTAATACCTCATGATTTTATTTTATTTTCTCTGATTATTAGTGAGTGTGAGCATTTTTTCTTTGACCATTCTGGTTTTCTTATATATGAAGTAACTGTTCAAGTCTTTCATACATTTTTCTATTGGGTTATTTATCTTTTCCTTATTGATTTAAAAATATGTCCTAAATAATAATTCTTTTTTCACTTATTTATGTTGCAGTTTTTTTCAGGATTGTGGCTTGTCTTTTCATTTTCTTTAAGAGGTCTTTTGATAAAAATAAGTTCTTAATTTTAATATAGTTTAATCTTTTCCTTTAATATCCTTTGGATATTCTTAAGAAATCCTTCTTTACCTGCGGTCATTAATAGTATTCTCCTACATTTTATTTAAAAATTTTACAGTTTTTCTTTTTACATTTAGGTTTTTAGCCACTTGGAGTTTATTTTTAATTGTGGTATGAGGTAGAACAGACTCTGTTAGCATTTTAAAATTCAAATATAATATACATACAGAAAAACATATGTATCATAATGATATAGCTCAGTAAATATTCACAAACAGACTGAACACTAGGGCTGGAATGAGGGTGAGGCAAGCAAGGTACCTAGGGAGCACATTTTAAAGAGGATCTCAGGTGCCAAGAGTGAGAGCCTCCTTAAATTTGGCTCCAATGGTATCTTGCTTATCTTACCCTTGTCCCAGCCTTACTGAATAAAAATGGAAATCAGCAGTCAGATCAAGAAACAGAATACTACCAACCTCCCAGAAACCCAATCTTACTTTGCAGTCACCATTCTACTCAACAATAAAATTGCTATCTAAACTTCTATTAGCAGAAATTAGCTTCTTTGTTTTACAGAGGTGGAATCATAGAGTATGAACTATTTTCTCAGTCAACATTAGGCTATGAAATTTATCATATTTTTTACATGTTGTTATGGACTAGTCTCACAATTTATTTATCCATTCTACTGTTGATGTGCATTTGGATAATTCCTAATTTTTGACCAGTATGAATAATTCTGCTCTGAACATTTTGGAATGTGTTTTAGTGATATATGTACACATTTCTGGTGAGAATAGAATTACTGGGAGTATAATTTCTGGATCAAATGGAAGGTGTATATTTAGCTTTAATAAATACTGCAAAATAGTTTCCAAAGTATTTGTGCCAATTTACACTCCCATTGGCAATGTATGAGAGTTGTGGTTGCTTTACATCCTCACCAATCCTTGGCATTTTCCATCCTGGTGGGTGTGCAGTGGTATGTCATTGTGGTTTTAATTTGCGTTTCCCCCATAACTAATGCACAGGAGCACCTTTTCATTTGTTTATTAGCCATCTTGAATATCTTCTTTGTGAGGTTAACTCTTGGAATTGTGTGCCATTTTTTTTCTCTTGGGTTGTCTTTCATTCTTATTGATTTGTAGGAGTTCTGCATATATATTCTGCATATAAATACTTTGTCAGATATATGTATTGTGATATCTTCTTCAACTTTAAGTTGAAGTATAGGTTGCCTTTTTACTCTCTTAATGAGATGTTTTATGAACAAAGATCTTAATTTTAATATATTCCAATATGTCAGTCTTTTCAGCTATATTCAATAGTTTGGGGTACTGCTTAAGACATTTTTATCTACTTCAAACTTACAGAGATGTACTGTTTTTTTTTTCTCTAAAAAGAGGAAATAACTAGAGAAACAGAAGAGATTTTTTTAAATTATAAAACCTACATTGAATTACTTCATACCAAAAAATATGAATACCTCGTCTTTCTCTCTACCTTCAGGTATTTGTATATTTTGATAGGAAGTTATTCATATAATTTTCTTATAATTTTAAAAATCTCTTCTGTTTCTGTAGTTCTTTCCCTCTTTTCATATCTGTGCTATTTGTGTCCCTTTTTTTATTATATTTGCCAAAAATTAGTATTTTTTATCAGTCTTTTCAAGAAGTCATCTTTTAGTTGTGAAGTGAAGAAGTCATCTTCACTTCTATTGCTTTTTTGGTTTGTTTTCTATTTCATTTATGTTTTCTTTTATCTTTGCCTTTTTCTACTCCCCTGGTTGGGTTTTGTCTCTCTGACTCCAAATTGATCTTTCTATCAATATATAGACATGTATATCCTACAGGTAACTCAAATTCAACATCTTCAAATTAAAATTTCAACTTCTAACTAAACATGCTCTTCCTCCTCCCAGATTCCTTATCTTGGTATTGCACCATCACCTTTCTAAGCAACATGACCAGGAATGTGTTCAACTCATATTTTCTCCTCATTTCCCACATCCTTTGGGTTACTGTTTCTGTTTTTGTACCTTTGACATATGTCTGAAGTCTGGCACTATTGCCACCGTGCTGATTGAGGCTGTCATCATTGATTTCTTGGTGAAAGACTGCTGAGTCTCCTAAATGAGTTCTCCTGATATCATCATTGCTCCCATGTCCTTCCAGAGTGCGAGAGTGAGGGTACTAAAACTATGATTATTACTTTCAAACATTTCAAGTTAATTTATTTTGTGTAATTTCAAAGGACAGAATAAGAATCAGTAGTTAAAAATTATAATGGGGTGCAGAGGTTGATTTGGGCTCAATAGAAGGAATAATTTTCTCTTAAAAATTTTAAAGCAATATTATAATAACATTAAAGTAATTTACAGCCTGAGCAAGAGTAAGACCCTGTCTCTACCAAATAGAAAAAATTAATCAGGTGTGGTGGCGTGTGCCTGTAGTCTAGCTACCCAGGAGGCTGAGGCAGGAGGATCCCTTGAGACCAGGAGCTTCAGGTTGCAGTGAAGTATGATGATGCCCCTGCACTCTACCTGGGGCAACAGAGTGCGACCTTGTCTCAAAAAAAAAAAAAGAAAATTTAAAAAGTAATGCAAATCTTCCAGGTGTCTTACCATCCTATTAATACTGTTTTTATTTTTACATGTCCCATCCTCTTCAGTATTTTTCTGTAGATATACACATTTGTATATGATTTTAATCATGGTATACATGTAATTTTATTTAACTTTTATGCTTAACAATATTAATTTTGTAATTATGTACTATCTTAATCTTCATATTTTTTAATTTTAGTGACTTTGTTTCATTTAGGTTCTCTGCTATTTCTCTACTTTTAAACATTTAGTTTCATTCCTGAATTTGCTATTTTAAATAGTGTCATAATAAATACATGTGAAATCATTTTTTTCTTACTTTCTATGGATATAGTTTCAGGAGGGAAATTTACAGAGCTTAAAAATTTATATAGCTCTTGAATGAGTATGACCAAGTCATTTTTCAGAAGCTGCTTGTTTTTCCACCTCCTCAGGGTAGATTTTCTCACAATGACAACTACTTAATAAATCTGGTTGCCTTGTGAAGTAGTGAACTCCTATTACCAGCTGTGCTCATGTAAAAATATATACTTATATTCA